GGCTTAAAACCACACAAATTTATTCTCTTATAGTTCTGCAGTTCAGAAGTCTGACAAGGGTCTCACTGGGCTAAAATCAAGATATCAACAGTTCCTTTCCAGACACTTTTGGGCAGAATCCATTTCCTTGCCTTTTCTTTCTTCTAGAGGCCACCCAACATTCCTTAGTTCATGACCTCCTTCCTCCATCTTCAAAGACAGCAACACTGCATCCTCTCTGTGTCTTCCTTCCGTAGTCACACCTCCCTCTGACTCCCTTCTTCTGCTGCCCTTTCTCATTTTTCCCCCGCCCTTTTTCACTTTTAAGTGATTATATTGGTTGCACAGGATAATCTGTTTTAAAGCCAGCAGATTGGTAACCTTAATTCCATCTGCAATCTTAATTCCTGTTTGCCATGGAACCTAACATATCCACGAGTCACTGGGATTAGAACATGGGCATCTTTGGGAGCCATTATTCTGCTGACCATGCTGCCTGGAAGAAGAGTGGGTCTGAGGGGCATCTGGGTGGCTCAGTTGTTAAGCATCTGCCTTCGGCTCAGGTCATGATCCCAGGGTCCTGGGATCGAGCCCCACATCAGGCTCCCTGCTCGGTGGGAAGCCTGCTTCTCCCTCTCCCGCCCTCTCTCCGTGTGTATTTGAAAAAAAAAAAAATAAAATCTTAAAAAAAAAAAAAAAAAAAAGGAGTGGGCCTGAGAAGGAGCAGCTAGAGAGAGAGGAGCCAGCAGGAAAGTGAAATATCACAGAATCCAGAGAAAGAGAGTTCCTGGGCAGGAGTGCGCAATAGTGACTAATACTGTTGAGAGGTCAAGCATGGTAAGAACTCAAAAATATCCATTGGTAGGGCCGGATGCCAGAGCAGCCACACCTCCCTTTCCAAGAAAGGTAACCCGCCCCAACCCACACCAATCCAGCAGAACTCCATGGTCTTTATTCACTTGGATACTGTACAAATACTACAATTTCCTTTTGCTGCAAAAAGTATAAAAATAATCTTTATGTAGGAAAAAAAAAATCCATTGGAGGGGTACCTAGCTGGGTCAGTAGGAGGAGCATGTGACTCTTCATCTCAGGGTCGTGAGTTTGAGCCCCACATTGGGTGCAGGTATTATATACATATACACACACATATACATACCCATTGGATTTAGCATCACGGTGACATCAGTCGTTAGTCGTCAGCTCCTCCCTCTCGGGGAGGAGCTAGTTTACGATGTGCTGGGCAGCAAGGAAGAAGTGAGGAAGTACAGACTGGAAGTGTAAAATCTTCCCAAAACCTTGATTGCGAAGGGAGATTTGTTACTGTTTCTAAAATGGGGAAAGAGAAGCAAGCAAGTTTCAATGCAGATGAGAAGGAAGGAGAGGTGTAGGAGAGATGGGTCATCAATAAATGGGATGTCTGCGAGGGAAAGAGCACAGCTAGCCCACCGAAGGCTTGGAAAAGAGGGACCGTTGGGTTGATCCAGACTCAGGTTTTGCCAGGCTGGAGCCACGGCAGAACACAGGTTAGGATAATGTCAAGGGTTTGGCGGTGCTAATAGAGCTGGGAATTTAACGGCGAGAGGAAGAGAGGGAGAGAGGCTGGCCTGCAGGTGGCGCTGATGAGGCAGGAGGGAATAGCTGAGCAAACTATGACCACTGGAGATTAGAGTCCTAATTTCAGTGAAAAGGCTGGTTCTTGATCGGATCGCAGTATTCGCTGGATTCCCTGGTACGCCGGCCCCTAGTCCCTGGATGTTCCAAAGTTTAGAACAGAGCTCGGCATAGCGTAAACGCTATGCCGTTGGCTACATTAATATAATTTTTAAAACCTCGGGGACTCCATTTCCCTTGAGGCATTGCGGCCGCTTCGACTACAACTCCCATTATGCCTGGCAGGCCGTGTGCTCTGTAATTACCCCTCCCTAATCTGGTTTTCCAATCCCAGCGTTCCTCTCTGTTTTCCTACCTTGCCACAGCACGCCTGTCAAAGTCGTAGGAACAACCAATTGGATCAGGGAATGAGAGACCAGGAAGGCCAATCGCCCGGTCAGAGGGGCGGGAGAAGGCGTGGCCACATCCTGCCCTGCCCCTGCTCCGTGGCTGCTTCCCTGCGGGCGGTTGCCTCGGGCGGGACCAGAAGACATGGGCGCTACCTGGGTGAACCCTGGATGGGTGCGGCTCGCACTGTGCCTCGCGGGTTTAGTGCTCTCTCTCTACGCGCTGCACGTGAAGGCGGCGCGCGCCCGGGACCGGGATTACCGCGCGCTCTGCGACGTGGGTACCGCCATCAGCTGCTCGCGCGTTTTCTCCTCCAGGTGCGCGCGGGAGTCGAAGGCTCGAGAGGCTGGTCTGCTCGTCTTGGCGGCCAGGTTGCCAGATGATTCTGGAGCTGGGGATCGGCCGCATGGCGGCGGGGCAGCTCGAGGGGGCGTTGCCTGGGGGGAGACGGTGTGTCCGAGATAGGAGTGTGGGGCCTGGGGCGGGGGCACTGTGGTTATTCTGGCGAGTAGCACGGAGATCCTCATGCCAAGCAATAACGGTAACCGGGGTAGAAGGGGGAATGGGATAGCGTATAGGGACTGGTGATGGTTTTGAGGTCTTGAGGATGGCCGTGACTGGGGATAAGGCGGCCAGGTCTGGGCTTGAGGGCCTGGGGTTGACCGAATACAGAGGAGGGGAGTGGGCGGCCAGGAAGCTGGAGATTTAGAGGTCCAGGGCAGAGAGATTCTGCACCTGATTCCCTGTAAAGCGAGGCCAACCGTTCTACCTACTTTGCCATCTTAAGAATTACTGAAGGTCTAGGATGTAAAGAGGGGCATATGGTGGAGCCATGGCCAGGCCTGGCCTGGCCTGGGGATAGGGGAGGACAGGGACATTGAAATGGAATCCTGACGTGGCCAAAGGGAGGCCAGCCGGGAGCTCATTGACCCTTGGACTCAGGAGGGCGTGGGGAGGGAAGGGGAAGGCCGGCCTAGGTGGCTTGTTGGAAATCACCCCACCAGGACAGGGCCAAGGCCCTGGATTGCCACTCCTAACCTGGGTCCTGCCGTCCACCAGGTGGGGCCGGGGCTTCGGACTGGTGGAACATGTGCTCGGCCAGGACAGCATCCTCAATCAGTCCAATAGCATATTCGGTTGCATCTTCTACACTTTACAGCTGTTGTTGGGTGAGTGGCCCCGCCCCTTCCCTGCAGGCCCCACCTCTTCCTGACAGGCCACCTCCCCCTTGGCCAGCCCAGCCCCTTCCCTTGCAATCTTGGTGACCCAGCCAGCCGAGATAGCCAGCGGCTCATCACTGAGCCCCCTGGGGGCGGGAACTAACGAGTCTTTCCCTTGGTTTAGTTACTGTCGGAGCCAGAAGGGCCCTTAAAGACTTCCTAGGACTCACTCCACTTTTGTGGAAAAGACTCAAAAGTTACTCTCTGAGGGGACTCCAAGGACTGCTTCTCTTTCATCACATGCAGAGCTCAGCAGGAAGATTCACCATTTGGGTTCCAGGGATCATTGAACAGATAGGAGAACCAAGGCCTTGGTGAGGCCCATCAGAGCCTCCTCCCCAGCAGCCTCTGAGATCTGGGTGGTACCATGAAGTCAAGGCAGTGTTCTAGAGATGGCCAGTCCCTGAAGCCCATGCCTGAGCCTTGTCTGCCTTGCAGGTTGCCTCCGGGCCCGCTGGGCATCTATCCTGCTGGTGCTGAGTTCCCTGGTGTCTCTTGTCGGTTCTGTCTACCTGGCCTGGATCCTATTCTTCGTACTCTATGATTTCTGCATCGTTTGCATCACCACCTATGCCATCAATGTGGGCCTAGTGGTGCTCAGCTTCCGGAAGGTCCAGGAACCGCAGGGCAAGGTCAAGGGGCACTGAGCCCTCACCCAAGCCAGGCTGACCTCATGCTCTGCTTTGGCACGTGAGCCTTGCCCAAGGGGGCCATGTCTGGGTCCTTAGAAGAGTCTGCAACCCGACCCCACCATACTCCCACACAGGACAACGGACCAAATGTGCCACTCTTTCCTCCACACTAGTGCCTCTGGCTCTGTCCCCAAGGGCTGGTTTCCGAAGCTCCTGCCATTGCCCAAGGAGGGAAGGTTCTGAGCAATAAAATTTCTTAAAAAAACTGGCTAAGTCTGAGCCATCTGTCTGCGAGGGACCCTAGTGTTGGGCCTCCCCCAGTCTTGCCTCCTCTGGACTGGAAGGATGTGAGTCCGAGGGAGAGTGGAGGGCCTGCCTGGAAAGGGTGGTTAGTCCCTTCTCCGGCGTGTGGAGTAAGACTTGGGGCGCCATCAGCCCCACCCACAAGAAACAGGCTGGCAGCTTGTCCTTGCTGCCCAACAAGAGCCAGGCTTTCTCTTCTGGGAGGGCCAAGCACACACTTGCAAGCGCAAACTACCCTTCTAGTTCTGTGCATGCTAGCCGGGAAGTTCTTCCTGTGGTCTAACCTTAACCCCTCCAACTGCCTTATCCACCACCCCAAGCCAGTCTTGGCAACCCTGGGAGACCAGGGACACGTTTTGAGTATTTCTGTTTTATTTTTCCTAATATATACTAAGCACCTTACCCACATGCCAAGCACTGCTGAAGAACATGACGTATGTTAACTCATGTAGCCCTTATATATCCAGTTATATGAGGTAGATGCTCTTACCCCTATCTTGATGAGGAAACTGCGGTACAGAGAGGGTAAGTAATTTACCTAAGATCACACAGCTGGTGCCAGGGAGGGGGTTAAGGTGCCCTCGGGATTCAGATCCGCCGGGGCTGTCTGGCTCATGTCTATGCTCTTAACACAGCTGCCTCTGTGTTGGGGTCAGGGTTCCTGAGCAGTTTGGGCTGGCCTGAGCTGGAAGTGGGGAAGAGAAAAAGAGTGCGCCCTGAGTGTTCTTCCCTCCCGACTGAGTCTTCCACCGCCTGCCAGAAAGGTGGGCGCCGCTGTAACCCTGGTCCCTGGGAAGGCAGCAGAGAGGTGCTGAGATCTGTCAGTCGTGCTGCCGGGACAGAGCCCTGGTCCTCAGTCCCCAGCCCTGCACACGCGGCCTCTGAAGCAAGGTGGGAGAAGGTATGTGAGACCCACCTGCACGTGGGCCTGGGAGAGAGGTGGGGAAGCTGAAATAAAGTGAGACCTGGGAGTCTGCCCACAGTGCTCTTCCCAGTCCCCAGAGGACAGCTTCCACGCTGGGGGCAAGTCTACTCTATGTCAGACTCTGGTCCGGGCATTTTCACATTCAGCAATTCTGAGTTCACGGACAGGCTAATTGGCCAGGGTCGCTCAGGCAGTTAACTGGGGGAACTAGGGTTTGAACCCACGCAGTCTGGCCATGGCGGAGCTGCCCGGAGGGGTGGTGAAGAGCCCAGGGTAACACAGTCGCAGCCCCAGAGCTAGGAGCCACTGGCTCCCTTCCCGGCCTGAGGAAAAGCAAGGACACCTGACTCTTAGCCAACCGGGGGCGGAGCAGAGGTGGAGCTAGGGAGACCCAGGTGGCCTCTCTGAAAAGCGGAGCACGGGCGGCAGAGTGGCCTGGAGCAGCATGCAGCCGAGCTGGGGACCAGGGCTGCTCATCCTGGGAGCAGCGGTCCTCGTCGAGGGTGAGCCACCCGTGTGTGAGTGGGGAGGGGCGTGGTATGGTGGGCGTTCAGGGACTGGCCACCCTCTGTCCCAGCAGCCTTGCAGCTCAGTGTGGTGAGGGCGCGTGTCTGTGGGGCGACAGTCGGCCCGAGCCTGTGTCTGGCTGTGGAGCAGGGGAGGTGGATGTGGCCACCTGTGACAAAACAGGTGGGACCTTCTTGGGCCAGATGACAGTCTGTGTCTGCAGTCACTGTGCCTGTGTGTACCCTGCGCCCCTCTCTGCCTCTCTACTTCCAGAATGACCTTCAGCAGGCTCTGGGAGCCCTCTGGCTCTGTCTCTCCATCTCTCTGTCCCATCTCCCCTGGCCTCTCCTGGCCCAGATGTTGATGTGCCTGTGATGGGACACAGACAGGGCAGGGGATCCTTTGGTAGAGTTTCTGGCGGATTCTGGAAAGGTCGGGGAGTCTGAGTCGTCAGAACAGGGGTGGGGTGAGTCTCCATCTCCTGGAGCCCTCCCCAACTTGAACATAACGTCGGCCTCTAATCCTTCCTCTTAGGCATCGAGGCTGAGGGCACAATTAAGCTAATGCTCTCCACATACACAGGCCGCCTCCCTGACTCAGTGGCGGGGGCTGGAGTTGGGGGTTCTGAATCCTGGAGGAGGGCTGGACCCGTCCCAAGTGAACCCTGGCCCTGCTTCTCAGGCCTAGGAGTGCTGAGGACAGCTGAAGGAGGAGAATTAATTACTGAGTGTACACTCTGAATAGGTTCTAATAAAAGCTCTTTCTTGACCTCATATATTTTCATTCTGGGAGGGGCTGGTAAGGTAGCTGCACAGTCATAGACAAGGACCCAGGGCCCATCCCCCCAAACCTCTGCCTTCCGCCAAGGCTGGGCCCACCAGGTAAGGCTCCCCCATCTCACCTGTTGTCTCTCTCTTCCCAGGTCTTCAAGCAGCTCAGCACGGTAAGCTCTGGGGACATGGGGTCAGGCCTTTCTTGGATCTGGCTCAGGCCTGTGGTGAGGGCAGGACAGGGGTCTTCTGTCAGTCTGATCCACCCCTCTTTACAGTATGTGGGCAGCGTGGCCCTGGCCCCCCTGAGCCTCAGGAGGGCATCACAGTACCTGGCGAGTGGCCATGGCAAGCGAGTGTGAGGAGGCAGGGGGTCCACATCTGCAGTGGATCCCTGGTGGCGGACACCTGGGTCCTCACTGCTGCTCACTGCTTTGAAAAGTGAGTCATGGCTGGGGTCAAGCTGAGTTTCTGGCTTTTGGCCGGAGGGGTGGGGGGGGGAGTGGGTGATATGTCCCCAAACCCCATAAAACTGACCCCTGCCCCTAGAATAACAAAGTACCATTTACTGAGAGTGTGCCATGTGCTTGGTACACATTATCAAGTTAATCTGAACCGTTTGTGGTAGAAGCCTTACGAAAGACAAAACAGAGTTTTGGGGGAGGGAAGGACCTGGCTTAAAGCTCTGGGCTGATTTCTGCCCCTTTCACCTACCCAGTGGTGTCTCCCATGGTGTCACTGTCCCCCTTTGCATTCAATGCCTCGGCCTTGTCCCTCCCCTTCCAGGGCAGCAATGACAGAACTGAACTCCTGGTCAGTTGTCCTGGGTTCTCTGCAACATGAGGGGCTGAGCCCAGGGGCCGAGGAGGTGGGGGTGACGGCTCTGCAGCTGCCAAGGGCCTATAACCACTACAGCCAGGGCTCAGACCTGGCCCTGCTACGACTTGCCCACCCCGTGGCCCACGCACCCCTCTGCTTGCCCCAACCTACCCATCGCTTTCCTTTTGGGACCTCCTGCTGGGCCACTGGCTGGGATCAGGACACCAATAGTGGTAAGCGCTCGCCCAAGGTCACACAGCCCCAGCTGCCAGCTGTCCGTCTGCTCAGTCTCCCTTGCTCCCCACCAACCCCCTTTCTCGTGCCAGCTCCCAGGGCTCTGCGGAATCTGCGCCTGCGTCTAATCAGCCGCCCCACGTGTAACTGCCTCTACGACCGGCTGCACCAGCGGCTGCTGGCTAGCCCAGCTCGGCCGGGGATGCTGTGTGGGGGCGCCCAGCCTGGGGTGCAGGGGCCCTGTCAGGTCTGATGGGGGAGACAAGGGAAGGGAACAGAAGGGGAGGGGGCCTAGCCCTGGGCTCGGTGCTCAGTCCACAGGGATGGGTGGAATGCCACTGTTAAGAGGACAGGGTGTCTGCCCATGGCTGGGGCTCAAATGTCCACCCTTGACTCCTTTGCCTGGCTCCAGGGGGATTCTGGGGGCCCTGTGCTGTGCCGTGAGCCTGACGGACACTGGGTTCAGGCTGGGATCATCAGCTTTGCATCAAGCTGTGCCCAAGAAGACACCCCTGTGCTGCTGACCAGCACGGCTGCTCACAGCTCCTGGCTGCAGGCTCGAGCTCAGGGGGCGGCCTTCCTGTCCCAGAACCCGGGGACGCCGGAGATCAGTGACGAGGACAGCTGTGTAGGTATGAGCAGGGGGCGTTAAGGAGTGGGACAGGCGGGGACACCCAGGCCTGCGTAATAAGGACTTCTGGGCAGCAGATAGAAGCACAGTGAAGCAAATTTCAGCTCAGAATAGAGAATTGGGACAAGGTATTCACATACTGTCAGGGGCTAATTAGGGGGCTTTTAAGGCCCCTTTCAGCCCTTAAGAGAGGAAAAGCCCCATTTAGGGCTGAGAGGCAGAGACACTTTAGAACTTTGTGCATTTAGAGTTTAGGTAAGAAGAGGGATCTGAGATAGAACTGAAGGTTGTGGGAGTAAGCTGCAAGTTTCCAAGCAGGGACCCAGGGAGATGGGACAGGGTAGGGCTCCCACTCAAACTTCTAGCCATGCCCCTGGGATGCCAGGCTGACTAACATGCAAATTGCATGCAAAAGAATTCCTAGGACGGAAGCTGTGTCTTGATGCTAAGAGAAGTACTAGTGAGCCAGGAATTCTGGGGCCAGTCCAAGCCCGGAGGGGTGCAGAGAGATGGGGTGGGAGAATGAGGAGCAGGGCCACTCCCATGAGGCTAGACAATCGGGGTGTAAAAGCTTAGGCCCCGGCTTTTGAGTCTCAAGTTGGCTACCTGCCTGTGGTTACTGAGCTAGAAAGTCACTTAACCTCTCTGGGACTGTGGTTACTTCGGTAACGAGGGTAACAAAATCCAAAATTTAAAAGGATCCTGTGAGGATCTGATAGTACGTGGGAAGTGCTTAGCACAGGGCCAGGCATGCAGTGAGCACTTAGCAAGGCAGGTGATGTCATCCCGTCTGTTCCAGCCTGTGGATCCTTGAGGAGAGAAGGTCCCCAGGCAGGAGCCCCCTCCCCATGGCCCTGGGATGCCAGGCTGAAGCACCAGGGGAAGCTGGCCTGTGGTGGAGCCCTGGTGTCAGAGGAGGTCGTGCTGACTGCTGCCCACTGCTTCATCGGGTGAGCCATGTCTCTCTTGCCTTTGTGCCCCCTTCGCCCTGGCCGGCAGCCCTGCCACCTGATGCTGTCAATGCTGCTTCTGCCCAGGCGCCAGACCCCAGAGGAATGGAGCATTGGGCTGGGGGCCGGACCAGAGGAGCGGGGCCTGAAGCAAATCGTCCTGCATGGGGCTTACACCCACCCAGAGGGGGGCTACGATGTGGCCCTCCTGTTGCTGGCCCAACCCGTGACACTAGGCCCCAGCCTTCGGCCGCTCTGCCTGCCCTATTCTGACCACCATCTGCCCGATGGGGAACGTGGCTGGGTCCTGGGGCTGCCCCGTCAAGGAGCAGGTACGTAGGACAGGCCCACCAGCAGCCGTCCATCCATCCCAGAGGCCACTGGGGCAGCTGGGTCTTTTCCCTTGCCCTTACAGGCGCCAGCTCCCCTCAGACAGTGCCTGTGACCCTCTTGGGACCCAGGGCCTGCAGCCGGCTGCATGCAACTCTTGGGAGCGACAGCGTCCCCATTCTGCCAGGGATGGTGTGTTCCAGTGTTGTGGGTGAGCCGCCCCACTGTGAGGTGAGCCCCGGTCCCCCAAACCTTACCCCACCGACCCCTGGCATCTTTATTCTGTAACTCACGAACAGACCTCCTGCCAGGCTTGGCCTCCAGACCTGCCTCTCACTTGAAATGGGGCCTTTCTGCCAACTGGTTCCCAGACAGCCAGAGCCTCGGCCCGGCCCCTAGCCCCTCCTGCCCCCACAGCAGCCTAGGGAGAAGAGGAAGTCACCCAGTGTCACCTGACCCCTATAGGGCCTGTCCGGGGCACCCCTGGTGCACGAGGTGAGGGGCACATGGTTCCTGGCTGGGCTACACAGCTTTGGAGATGCCTGCCAAGGCCCTGCAAGGCCTGCAGTCTTCGTGGCGCTCCCCGCCTATGAGAACTGGGTCAGCAGTTTGGACTGGCAGGTCTATTTTGCTGAGGAGCCGGAGCCCGAGCCCGAGGCCGAGCCCGGAAGCTGCTCCGCCAACACGAGTATGTGGCCCTAGGGCCTCCCTGCTGACCCGTCCCTCTCCAGACCCATGCTCTCTCAATCCAGGGAAAGATCTGTTCTGACCCACCCCTAGCTGCCCTGGGGGGTGTGGGGGGGTAAGTGGACAAAATTCTGGTTCTTCATCATTGTGACTTGGAGCAGGCCTCTCAACATCTTCAAACCTCAGTTTTCTCATCTGTCATGGGGGTTAAGTAGTACCTTCTTCCTCTTCCTTCCAGGGAGGGAGGAAAGTTCTGAGGATGAGGCCAACCCCACCCTCCTTCCTCTTCCTGACAGGCAAACCAGCTGGCTGTTGACAGGTGGCTCTGGGACGCTGCAGACACAGTGAGACAAATCCTGCGTCACTGCCCCTGCCCCTCTCCCATCCTCACCCCCCACCCCCACCCTCCGTGATCCCAGGCACTGGGACGGGCCCAACAGCCCAGCGGGCTCTGGGAAGGAGCCTGTCTGGACCGGCGGCTGCCCTTACTCCTCACCCTGCAGGACAGGGAGATGTCGCCTGTGGATGCTCCCCCACACCGAGCTCTGCTGTGCAACACAGGCGTCCCCAGCCTTCCCTATTCTTCATCCCCTCAGATATGATCACACCAGCCACTTACTTTGAAAATTCGTCTGTTTGTTTTTTTTAGGGGGTGGGGGAGCAATTTTCCTTTTTTTAAAACTTAAATAAATTGTTACAAAATAGACTTTAGAAAATAAGTTACAAATTGTAGCAAAAGGCTCCCCTTCCACAGGCAACATTCCCACCTGTGGCTCTCTGAATCAGCCTCTCCCTGGTGTTGGAATCTGGCTGGTGACGGTGGCCCCACATCGTGGCAGAGCCTGGCACCGGGTTTCCTGCAGGGCTGGTCACAGGGAAGAGCATAGTGACAAAAGGCTGGGGAAAGGAGAGCCTTGAAGGACAGGGACATGAGGAACACCTTAACCCCTCCTTGGGCAAGAAGCCAGATCTGGGTCCTCTGCACAGTGGGAGAGGAGAGTAAGAGATGGGGATGCCTAACTACTCCTGAGCAAAACATGGAGATCAAGCCTTTCCCTGCAACCCGCCACCCCCCCACCCCGCCCGTATTCTGATCTTTGGAGACTTAAAGTTTAGAGGGAGAAGCTGAGGTCTGCAGGCCACTGGGGTGAAGGATCCAGAAGTGAGGTCGTGGGGGTGGGAGGAGGGGGCAATGACAAGTCCCCTCTCCCCGCCGCTGGTGCCTTTGGGACTCCTGGGGAGAAAGAGAGGTGGTCACTGACTGAGGGCGGCAAACCCCACACAGCTTGCACCCCATTCCCTAGGCCTGCAGGCCATCCTGCCGCCATCCCCCATGGCCCCAGAGGCCTGCATGAGAACTCCCAATTACTTTTCCAGGCCTGATTAACTGGCTTCTCGCTCATTCCCTTGAGGTCACAAGAAATCTTTTATCCTGAAAGCCATCTCGTCAGCTCTCTCAGGGGACTCTCACCCACCATTGCCTCCTTCCCTGACAATCTCTGGTCAAGGACCTGCCATCTTAGAGACACCGACCCTTGGTGGCCACTAAATGGAATGGGTCCTGGGAGAAGGCCTACAGATCTCTAGGGGAGGCCAAAGGCGTGAGCCCAGGGCTCAGCAACAGGCTGCCCCACTCCCCCACAGCTTCATCCCCCACCTGGGCTGGGTGGAGTGACTTTCCAGGGAGGTTCCCCCTGATAGAGGATGGGAGATAGAGGCTAATGGCTGTTGTTGCTACAGCTGGGCCTGGCTTCAAAGAAACAATTATCTGTGACTCAGTCCTCCAGTTAAAGGTGTGTTGGTGGGAAGGGGGGTATGCAGGTAGAAAGAGTGGTTTGGTTGGCTCCTAAAAAGGAGATGCGCAGCAAAGAAAGGGTTCAATGAGGGGAAGACGAGGCATGGGGCAGTATCAGTAGCAAAGGACCAAAGGCCTAGTTTCCAAGAAATGAGGAGGGGGACCAGAGACAAGATGCAGGGAAGAGGGACAGGGAGCTGGGGGCCAACCGGTGGCCCGGTTTCCCTGGCCAAGTCAGCACAAAAGCCACAGAGCAGTCTAGTCTGGGGGTGCCTCCCATGCCCCATTCCTCACTTTCCTGCTCCCTGCCCCCTCAAGGAAAGAGCACCGCCTAGACCATATTTTTCTCTGGAAATCATTCCTTTACTGGCTGGATCAGGGGAGTTCCCAGATGTGATAGCCAGACAGCTGCCTCCCCTCCCCTCCCCGAACAAAAAGCCCCTTCCTCTCCGGCTCCTGCACAGCAGCGGCCTCTGCCCCTGCGCACACCCTATCCCACCCCACTGTCCAACCCACCATGCTGTTGGCCTGGCCCAGGGTTCCAATCTCAGCCCTCACAAGGCAGCATCCTCAAACTAGTCTTCTCCACATTCAAGCCCCCCGGCCCCGACACCTCTTGGAAGCCATAGGACCCTCTCCTCTCATTCCTCGCCACCCCTCCCCGCTCTGTGCCCACGTCCTCTGGGACCTTTCCGTCCTCTGCCCAAGCCATTCACGCCCCCGTACCAGAGCTGGCCACTGTCCATTCCTCCTGGTGCTGCTGCTGGTGCTGCTGGAAGCTGATTCGGCGACGGAAGTGGCGGGGACAATGAGGGCAGGTGAAGGGCCCCTCCCGAGGTGCATGGACCCGCCCGTGACCCTCCAGCCGGGCAGCTGTCCGGAAGGCCTTGCCACAGACGCTGCAGCGGTGGCGCTTGGGGTCTGTGTGGGTCCTGCCATGGTTCTTAAGGGACAGCAGGTTGGGTAGAAGTTTGGGGCAGAGGGAGCAGGGGTAGAGTCCAGTGGTGTGGGCCTTCTGATGGTTCAGCAGGCTACCGGCGTGGCGGTAGGACCGCCCACACTGGGCACAGCGGAACGGCCGTTCCTCGTCTTCAGCCGCCGTGGACTTTACTCCTTGCCCCCCATCAGCTCTCCCAGCATTCTCTCCTGGGGCCCTGGGGGGTTCCGGTGGGGCCTTCTGGATTTCCCCTTGGCCGGGGCTATCCACCTCATCCTCCACAGTCCCACCTTCAGGCCCTGTGGCCTCCCGTATCTGGGGTGGCATCTGACCGAGGCCGCTGGCCTGAGTGTGCAGGTGGCTGGCTAGTTCATGATGGGACTGGAAGGCCTTACCACAGTCGGGGCAGGCGAAGGTCTGGGCAGCTATGTGGTTGCGGCTGTGGCTCTTAGCGGCCCCAGGGTTCGAGAACTCCTTGGAGCAGGGCAGGCAATGGCGGCAGTCTGTCTCGGCGGTGCTGTGGCGGTTCAAAGGGCCTTCCGACTGGCAGTACGTCCTGCCACAACGGCTGCGGGAAGAGGGGGGACTCTCGGGCTGGAGCTGAGGTCGGCTGTCTGCACCGTGCCAGCTAGCCACAGGACTCAGACTAGGTCCGTTGGGCTGGGTGTTGCCAAGATGGCAAGGACTCTGGGGGATACTGTCCTCTGACTCATCTGCGGGCTTGGTCAGTACATGACCCCGAGGAACCCAGTCTCCGCCGCGACTCACCGGCCCCCCGTCTCCTTGCCTCCCTTTGGCATTCCCCACGTCCCCGGATCCCGGCTCGGTGGGTTCCGAACCTGCTGCCCCGATGGGGCTCGGACTCTGCTCCCCCAGCCTCCTGGCTCCATCCTCCAGCTGGAGAACTGACTCAGGACCACCCGACCTGTCCTCTAGTCCCTGGTCATCGGCCAGGGTCCCCTCACTGCCCTCTGTGCCTCTCTGCCCACTTTTGGTCTCCTCTTCATGCTCCCGCAGGTGCTGCTCCAGGGCTCCCCGGCCAGGGAAACCCCGGCCACACAGGGCACAGCGCACAGCTGCCCGCCGGGATAGCCCTGCTCGCCGCCGCCGGCTCTCTGAGTGCAGCCGCTGGTGGTCCTTCAGGGCCATGCTGTTGGAGTAGGTCTTGGGGCACGTGGGGCAGCTGTACTGGCCGGTCTCGTGGCTGCGCCGGTGGTTCAGGAGGCTGCCGGCATGGCGGTAGGTGCGCCCACACTGCCCGCACCTGAAGGGCCGATCTTCCCGTGTCAGCTTCCGGGTGCCCCCGCCCGCGCCCCGCTCGGCGTGGACCCGCTGGTGGCTGGCCAGCTGCTTCCGCAGGCGGAAGGCCTTCCCACATTCGCCGCAGCGGAACCGCCGGGGATCTGCGTGGATGCGCCGGTGGTTCTTGAGGGACATGAGGTTTGAGAAGCCTTTGGAGCAGGCCTGGCAGCCAAAGTGGCCAGTCTGGTGGCTCTGCCGGTGATTGATGAGGCTGCCAGCGTGCTTGTACGACCGGCCGCACACCTCACAGCTGAAGGGCCGCTCGGCGCTGGCCTCGGTCTGGCAGCTCTTCTCTGCCGTCTCCAACCTCGGCTCCACCTCCTCCCCCTTCACGGTGGCCTCCCCCCACTCCTCCTCTTTCACCCTTGCCACCTCTTCCGAGGGCTCCACTTTAAGCTCTTCCTGGAACTTTCCCCCATCTGCCTGCCCCAGCCCTTCTCCTGCCACGTTCTGAGGCTCGCTGCTGCCTCCGGCCTCTGGGGCGGGCCCCACCTGGGGCTCAGAGCCCTTGCAGCGCGGGTGGTTTCGCAGGTGATTCCGGTAGGCAGCCAGGTTGGGGTAGCAGCGGGAGCAGACGGGACAGATGAAGTCTCCAGTCTGGTGGATCTTGCGGTGGTTCACCAGGCTGCCCCCGTGGCGATAGGTCTTGCCACACTGGTTGCAGCGGAAGGGGCGGGGCTGGGCCTCTGGCGGACTTTCCTCCCCCTGCATGCAAAGGCTGTCTACAACCATAGCACCTGCTCCCTCTCCAGACTTTGTGTCCCCACCCTCCCCAGAGAGAGAGGTCACCGTGCCCTCAAAGACACGGTCATCACCTGCAACCCTTCCCATGGCATCGCCTGACTCTCCTAAGTGGCTGGGAGCTTCGTCTGTGGTGTTCCCAGAACTCTGGCTTTGGTGGTGACGCTCCAAGCTCCCTAGGTCATCGTAGGTCTGACCGCAGCAGCCACAGATGTGCCCATAACCAGCTCCGTCCAGCGCCTCCACCTCACGCTGCAGCTGATTCAACAGCTCCGCTTCCGAGAGCTGCAGCGGAGGGCTCCGGGCGGAGGCTGGCCCTGCGGCTCCTTCCTCCTCCCCCTCCTCCTCCTCCCCCTCGGTCAGGCCAGAGGAGTCGTGAGCCTGGCGCCGGTGAAGCCTGTAGCCAGCCCGTCCCGGGAAGATCATGCCGCAGAGGCAGCAGAGGAAAGGTTGTGCAGGGGCGGCCTCCCCGGGCCCGTGGTTCTGGAAGTGGCTGCGCAGGGCAGGCAGAGAGTCAAACTCCTTCGGGCAGAGGGAGCACTGATAGATGCCCGGCGGGTGGCAGGGCCTGTGGCTCAGCAGGCCGGTGGCATGAGGGAAAGAATGCCCACAGTCCGAACACGTGTGGGAGAGCTCCGCCTGCCAGCCAGTGACAGCTTCATCAGGAGAGTGGTTCGGGGAGCTGGGCTGGCCAGGGGCCCGGTTCCGGTCTTCATCCACCCCAGTGAGACCATCACAGAAGCGAGTCCCATTGCTTTCCTCATCGCCTGGGATGTCCAAGTTGTCTAGGAAACAGGCCTCCTTCCTTTCCAGCCCTTCCTCAGTACCCCTGCTCTCTTTATCACCCTGGAAACGGGCCTCCGCCCGTTCGAGCCCACATCTAGCCCTTTCGGCTTCAGTCTGCAGACAGCCCCCATCGCTTTCCGAGCTGCCTGCGGTTCCATTAGGATCGCCCCCTGAAGGGTCTCGCGGACAGTCCAGGCCCTCGCTGTTCCCCACCAAGTCCTGGGCCCAGTTCCCGCCTGACGGGAGTTTGGCTTCACCCCCACTGCCAGCACTGCTGGCCCGCCTCCCGGGCTGCTGGCCCCACCGCCCACTGTGGCGCCGCAAATGGTTCTTCATGGCGGCCATAGTGTGGAAGTGCTTGGCGCAGGCCCCACAGCTGAAGTCCCCCGTCTGGTGGGTCTGCCTGTGGTTGATAAGGCTGCCTGAGTGGCGATAGCTCTTTCCACAATCTTGGCAGGCAAACGCCCGAGGAGGGGACGCCCTGGTCTCTGTCCTGCTGTCTTCCCCTTCCCCATGGGTCCGGCCGTGACGTTCAAGGCTCTCAGGGTCTTCAAAGAGCATCCCACACACAGTACAGATCTGTGGTGCTGTCCTATTTGCTGCTGGGGGGACATCGGCCGCAGCCGCCTCCTCTTCATGTTTGCACCCACGCCCCTGATCTGTATGTGGGGCTGCCTCTGCTTCCACTTGGTCAGGAGGGAGCTCTCCCTTGAGGTGGCTGGGGGGACCCTCAGCCCCTGGGCCTGCGCTGCGGCGAGCAGCTTTGCAATGGACCCGCACGTGGTTACGCAGGGCCATAAGGTTGGGGTACTTGCGGGGACAGAGTGAGCACTGGTAATCTCCTGTCCGATGGCTGTGGCGGTGGTTCACCAGGCTCCCCCGGTGGCGGTAAGCCCGACCACACTCGTCGCACTTATAGGGGCGGTGGTCCAGGGTGGTGGCGGGGACCTCTTCCTCTTTGTGGGGGGTATCAGCCACAGGCAGGGGGGCTGGTGGCACTGATGGCTGCCCGTCCTCCCCAGCTCCCTGCCGGGGTCTGTGATGAGCCCGCACATGGTTTTTGAGGGCAGCCGCGTTGAACAGCTGCTTGGAACAGATGGAGCAGGGGTAGACACCCGTCTGGTGGCTCTTGCGATGGTTGATGAGGCTCCCAGCATGGCGGTAAGTGCGGCCGCAGTCCCCACAGCGGAAAGGCCGGTACTCCTCCAGGCCACCGTCCTCCAGGTCCCCAGAGGCGCTGCGCTCCCCAGAGCAGTTCAGCATCTGTGTAGTCGGGAGCTGGTCCTGGCTACTCTCCTCCGCGTGCCCATTGGTGGCGGGCGTCCCTTTCCCTTCCCATAGCCGCTCCTGCCTTTCGCCCTCATGGGACTCTTGGTGGTCCAGCAGCTCTCGGGGGAGCCGGAAGGCACGGGGACAGTGAGGACACTGGTAAGGCTGATACTGGGCATGGAGTCGGGAGTGGTTCTTCAGGGCCATGAGGTTAGAGAACTCCTTGAAGCAGATGGCACAAGGGTAGACGCCCAGGCTGTGGCTCTGGCGATGATTGGTCAGGCTCCCGGCATGCTTGTAAGTCTTGCCGCACTGAGCGCATTTGTACCGCCGTTCCTCCTCAGCACGAGGTGACTGAGGGGGCTCGTGGCCCCCGGCAAAATTCACCACGGATTCAGCCAAATACTGTTCCAAATTGCTAAGGAGGCTGCTGGCTGCGGTGGGGAGCGGGGTGGCTCTGGCAGAACTGGTAGTGGGCCCCCAGCCCTCTGCACCCCCCTCAGAATCTGGCTGCCTTTCCCAGCCTTCTCTTTGTCTGGTGGGTGGATCCTCCCTAGTGCTCAGAGCTGCCCTGGGGTCAGGCCCAGACTCACAGCCAGATGTCTCTTCGGCATGTTTTTTCTGGCTCATCCAGCTTTCCCCAGGGCTGAGCCTCTGGTCCCTAGAGTCAGAGGATGCTGCTTCCCCCTGCAGGCGTGGAATGACTTCCTTGGAGCGGGGAGGCCTGCGCCTACGGCGGCCCTCGGGAGCATGAGTCCTCATGTGGCTCTTGAGGGCCACGGGATTGGTAAAGTCCTTGCCACAGGTGGTACAGGGGAAAAGACCCGTCTCGTGGGTCCGCCGGTGGTTGACCAAGCTCCCTGGGTGACGGTAGCCCCGCCCACACTGCTGACAGCGGTAGGGCCGAGGGATGCTGTCTGCCTCCTCACTGTCCTGCTGGGAAGATGGATGGAGCAGCTCGCGGTGCCGGGACAGTTCCGGGAGACTAGGAAAGTGGCGCTGACAGTCAGAGCAGCTGAGTGAGGTGAGCGTGTCCTCCATGGGGCAGTGTGGCAGAAACCTGGAGGTTCAGGAACACCAGGCAAGTGGCAGCAGCATCTTCCTCTGGGAGGCCTAGGAAGAGGGGGTGGTGGTCAGAAGGAAGGCCTGAGTTAACTTTGCCTCTTGGCTCTCCAAGCAACAAGCTTATCAGAGGTCACAGAAATGTTCCCCAAGCAGTAATGCCCGGGGACTTGCTTTCTGCTAGATCTGAAAGCACCCCTCATTTAAGGCCTCCCTGCACAAAAGCTCCCCAAATATGGAAGCTCCCCTAGGCCTAATTCATCCCTAGAGATAGAGATAAGGACATTGAAGTCTAGAGGGATGCAACCTTATCTCTGATCACAGACTTACCTACCTCTATTCATCAGACCAAATCCAAAAAATCTACTGTCCCTAACCCTCTCCTCTGTATAATTCTGAAACAACCAACCAACCTATCTCCTGTGACCTCTTAAAAGGAAACCTGAACCTTTTCTAGGACCTTCAATGTGCGAAGTCCAATCCTCTCTCCTTGACCCCTCAGCTAAACAGAGTGACCTAGAGGCACTGAAAAGCAGTCTTTTTCTTCAGTTGACAGCTGAGGACCTGAGAGGTAGGGTTAGACCCTCTTCAGAGAAAGGGCGGGCTCGTTCCCCCACCTCCCCCATTCCTTTCAGGGTCACAAGGTCTCTTTTCTAAGACTCTCTTGGCCACTTCCTTCACCTACTTCCCCTGAACCCAAATTATCTCGTATCTTGGAAATTCCAACTCATTTCTGGTTGTTCTCCACCCCCTATCTTTTTCTTTCTTACCCTTCTCATTTTTTCTCCTATCTCCTCTTAAAATATGCATGGTGACATCAACACATGCTAAGTGGGCATTACCATGTGCGGGGCACTGTGCTAAGTAAAGAATATTCGTTGTGTCACTGAATCCTCGAAACACACTGCAGCGCCTGTTATCCCAGCTTACACAGGAGCAAACGCAATGACTGGGGCAATCTTCTTTCCAAAGCCCTTACTCTCTCCATAGCAGGCCCCTATGCCTCCTCCATCACCTTGGCCTGCGCTGACTGATTCTTCACTCCCATGGGACCCCTATACACACAACTCATATCTCCGGATCTAAACCCCCTCACTGAACCTGCTCCCCGACTTCTCACCTCACAAAGCCCCTTCGCTCGAGCCCCTTCTCCTGATCAACCACCAACCAGGTCTTCTCGCCTCACTCATCTCCTCGGCCAATTTCCTCTCAGGACCCCTACCTCGCTCGGGTGGCCCCTTTTCGTTCCCGCCGCGGGTGAGTCCGTTGGGGACCGCGAACGGGAGCGCGCCTGCGCACTGGGACCCTCACCCTAACTGCAGCCGCGCTCCCCAAGGGGTGGCTGTGGGGGGCTCTCGCGCTCCCACACACGCACACTTCGCCAGGGTTCCTGGGAGGCGGGAAAGGAGGAAAAGAAGGAAAGGAGAAAACGGAGGAGGAAAGAGGGAGAGGAAAGAGGGCGCAGCTGGCCGGAGCCAGAGTCTACCCCCAGCTCCGCGGACACTTCCTATTGTTACTAGGAAACAGGAAGTGTCCTAGCCGCAAAAGGTTCCCCTCGAAAGCTCTGCCTCGAGAACACTTCCTGTGCCGCCTCCAAGCAGCGGTTCTACACAGACACACTTCCGGGGCTAAGGGAGAGGTAGCTGATACGCGACTCTGACCCCGCCCAGGGGGGTCAAAGCGCTGCGTTGTTTTGCGCCAGTCTTAGCCACACTTCCGGCAAGAGCTGCGAAAATTGTTCCGATGCATATTGGTTGAAAGCAGAAGAGGAAAAAATGCGTTCTACTGCTCTGGCCTCGGTACTTTAGCGACACTTTTCGTGGAGCTCCCTGAAAACCTTCCCAAGACAGATGGAGGGAGTTTCATTCACTCCTTGCTACTGAGGGAAATGTGGTGGAATATAAGCGGATTTGGGTACTACAAAGCTTGCCATGGCCCTTCTGTCCTCCCGCCTTCTTCTTGGTGACCTGGCCCCAAGCTAGCAATAGCCCGGTGTATACCGTAAACCTGTCTGGCGTCCCCTGTCATTAGCACCCACAGAGAACCCTTGCAAGATGTTTCTCCGCTACCTTCGCCTGCAGTGCTCGGGTCAACTCTGCCTTCCTCCGGGGCGGGAAAAGCTCCCGCCCACTTCCGCTTGCCGGCCCCGCCTTCCCCCCTCCCCCCGCTGGGTCCTAGCGCCTGCCCCTCCCTGGCAGTGTCCCGGGCTCCGTCGGCGAGAGCAGCTGCCGCTGACGCCACGGAGCCAACCCAAGTTCGTTAAGGTAGGAAATGCCGGCGGGAAGCCGCGGGGACCCCTGGGCCGCCCCAGCGCGGACGCAGTCCGAGAGGCCTCAGTTTCCCTCTGGGTGCAGAGGGCGGATGGAGTTGGCCTGGCGCGAGCAGCGCGGGCGGGGCGGGAGGAGTGCGGCCCCGGGAGGGCGCCGGCGGGCTCCGGCCCAGCGGGTCCTAGAACCCGCCGGCTGTCCCCGCGGGCCGGCTGCTGCGGACTCCTAGGCTCGGCCGGCGCGGCTGCCTGCCTCGCACGGTGCGGGCCTTGGGGGTCCTAGAGCCCGCCATGTTGCGGGCTTTTGTCCCAGGCGCGCGGCCCGCCTAACAAGGTCCCCGGCGCCGGCGGCCCCTCCCCGGCCGAGGTGCTAGTCGCCCCTCCCGCGGTCCTAGAGAACGCCATTTTGCAGGCCTTTGTCCAGCGTCCGGCCCTTGGTCCATTCATTTGTTCATTCTCTCATTCTTCGTTCACTCCTTCTTGACTCGTTCTCCGAGGCCACGTTTTCCTAGCCTTCCGAGACGAGTCAGCCCAGGGCTCTGCCCTGCGGGGCTGTCTGGTGGGGGCGCCGACGTGTAGATAGTTGCTGGGAGCTGGAGGCGCAGGGTTTCTGCAGCTCTAGGCCCCTTCTCAGTGCGTCTCTTAGGCCCTAAAGCCCTTCAGTCTCCCACGTACCTCAGAGATCCCATTTTACTGATGAGAAAACTGAGGCCCAGAGCGCCGTGGCGTCCTTACCTCTACTGCCTATTAAGCATTCTTGAGGGCACTGAGGAAGGGGGTGTTTGAAGGATGCAAAAGAGTTTTTCCCATGGGAGAAGGCAAGCAAGGGCTCCCGAGGCAGAGAGAACTGCAAGTGGAGATGCATTTAGGTGAGAAAGTTTGAGAATTGAGGCTGGGGCTTAGTTTGCTGTTGGGAGGGGGACACTGCCGCTGGAGCTGAGGCTGAAAAAGTAGGTGAGGATTAGGTTGTGAACTGACCAGCTTGGAGGCCTAGGAGATGATTAGCCCTCACTTCCGCACAGTTTACAGTTCCCCATTCACCATCTCACCAGGTCTCATGGCCGGTGAGGCCTTACTGATGTCTACTTGCGTACACATGGGGAGACCAAGGTGCAGAGGGGATGAAAAGTAATTCCTTTTTTACCTCATCCCAGCTCGCAGGGTCCTAGCCTAAGCTGTCTGGGAATGAAATCAATGCATCTCTGGCATTTACAGCCTGTTCAGGCCGCAGGCCTGCCTCTCCCTCCTAAGCCAGTAGTGAAGCAAAGACAAGCCTCCCTCACCAGAGCAACGAACCCACTGTGGGATACTGGGTGATATTTGGACCTTGTGAACTTGGAAAGGCAGAGAAATTCAGTTAATAAATAGTTGTTTACAGATATTCTCACAAACCCCTACTGTGGAGGAGGCAGAGGCAATAGACCTGGGTTTGAGTTCTGTCTTAGAGGTTGCTCCATTCACTTTGTTTTGGGGCATCAGCCATAGTTCTAGGTGTAGAGGATACCAAAAAAAATGAAGGTTCCTGGCTCTTTGCCAGCCTAGACCCTGGTGCTGGAGACAGAGAATTAATAATCCAGCCATAAAATGTATAAATGCACCAAAGCAACAATCAGGACAGAAAGCAGAAGTTTGAGAGCCAGACCACCTGACTTTGAATACTGGCTATGTCCACGACTTCATGTCTGTGTGCCTCAGTATCCTTGTCTGTAAAATGGCAGAAATAATACTGTTTAACTTAGTCTGTTCAGGCTGTGCATAACGACAACAACAACAACAACAAAACCCCACACAGACTAAACGGGCTTAAACAACAGAAATTTATTTCTCACAGTTCTGGAGGCTGGGAAGTCCAAGATCACGATGCTGGCCAATTCAGTTCCTGGTGAGGACTCTCTTCCTGGCCTGTAGATGTCCACCCTCTTGTTATATCCTCACATGGCCTTCTCCATGCATGCGCGCATTCAGTCCATAAGAAATTTCTAGGCAGTTGTGAGGCTTAGCTTGAGGAGTACCCACAAAATGCATAGAATGATACCTGGCCCGTGGTAAGCTTGCAGAGAATGTTATCCTAATGAGCGCCATATGGGAAACTAAAGAGGAGGGGATAGTGATTAGCAAGAATACAAACAGCATTAAGAAAGGTGGTCAGGAGGGGCGCCTGGGTGGCTCAGTCGTTAAGCGTCTGCCTTCGGCTCAGGTCATGATCTCAGGGTCCAGGGATCGAGCCCCGCATCGGGCTCCCTGCTCCGCGGGAAGCCTGCTTCTCCCTCTCCCACTCCCCCTGCTTGTGTTCCCTCTGTCGCTGTGTGTCTCTCTCTGTCAAATAAATAAATAAAATATTAAAAAAAAAAAAGAAAGGTGGTCAGGAGGGGCGCCTGGGTTGCTCAGTTGGTTAAGCGACTGCCTTCGGCTCGGGTCATGATCCTGGAGTCCCAGGATCGAGTCCCACATCAGGCTCCCTGCCCAGCAGGGAGTCTGCTTCTCTCTCTGACCCTCCCCCCTCTCATGCTCTCTCTCTCTCACATAAATAAATAAAATCTTAGAAAAAAAAAAGAAGAAGGAAAAGTGGTCAGGAAAGCCTTCTTTGAGGAGGTGACAGGGGGCTGAGGCCCAAATGAAATCAAAGAGATAGCTACACAATGATCCTTGGGGAACAGTGGTTCTGGCAGAGGGAGCCACTAGTACAAAGGCCCTGAGGTGGAAAGGAATTTCACTCTTTTTTTTTTTTTTTAAAGATTTTATCATTTATTTGACAGAGAGAGAGAGGGAAAGCACAAGCAGGTGGTGGGGCAAAGGGAGAAGCAGGCTTCCCGGTGAGCAGGGAGCCGGATGCGGGGTTCGATCCCAGGCCCCTGGGATCATGACCTGAGCCAAAGGCAGATGCTTAACCAATTGAGCCACCCAGGCGCGCCATAGCTCTTTTTGGAAAAGAAAGGGAGCCTGTGTGGGTGGAGCCTCGTAAGACCACAAAGAGGAGTGGGAGGTGAGGTAGCCTTCCACATGGAAAAGATAGAGGTCTTTGTCCTAGGAACAGTGGAAAATCTCCTGATTTGGCTCATAAACCTGAAGTAAATACAGACTGGTAGAGAAAGAACCCAGCCCAGGGGCCTGAAGACTTGGATTTGAGTCTGGCCTCTTGACTAGCTTGGTGTCCTTATACAAGTGTTTTCCCTTGGGGGGGGAGTGGGGGTGGGGCTGAATCTCCATATCTGAAGAGAGGCCTAGTAAAAATGGCTCTCTCTTAGAAGCTTTGTGAAGACCTAAGGATGTGTCTTTGGTTCTTAAGTGTTAAGTGTTGGCTGTCATGACCCCAAGAGCGTGTTTAAAGTACAGATTTCTGAGTCCAACCCCATACTCTCTGGATGATTATTCTCACGCAGGGGGTTCACAGACCTGACTTGGAGAAACATCAGTCTAGGGAGTGGTGGGTGGAAGAGTCCTTAGTAAACAATGAAGTGAGGACCTAATGGTGGGATTTTAGATAGGGGCCTGGCCTACATGGTCCCCTACTTTTCATGGAGCTGGGCACCTGCTGCAACCAACCTGGTGCTTCCCTACCTTTTCCCCCAAGGAAGTGCTTTAGGAGGAGAGATGTACACCTCCAGCTATCTGATTTCTGGTTCACAGGTAGGAACACTGAAGCCCAGAGCTTAGAACCCAGGGGTCAAGCCCTCTGAGAGGGAAACAGAAACATAAAGGGTGCTGGGTTCTGGTCTCAAGGCAGTTCCACAGGGATGAGAGAACATGAAGATGCGGCCTGAACTCTGGGTTCTGGTCAGTGTAGGGCCGGCCCAGGCAGCAGACAAGTCTGGGGGGCCCAGACAGCTGATAAAGATCCCAGTGACTCAAGGCAAGTTAAACACCTGGATTCAAGTCCCAGCTGTGAGTCTAGCTTTGTGACCATGGGCTAGTCACTAAACCTCTTGGAACCTCAGTTCATTTGTTTGTAAAATGAAGACAAGAATCTCTATCTCAGGAAGCTGTGAGAGAAATAAGGTAGCACGCTCAGCAAAGTGTCTGGCTCTAAGAAGACTCTCAATAATTGAGGGCAGTTATTCATATAACTCAACCAACACTGTGAAGTAAGTACTATTATTACCTCCATTTTTCAGATGAGAAAATCGAGGTACCATGGCATGAAGTAAATGGCACAAGGTCACAGCTAGGAAGTGAGTGAGGCAAGATTGGAAGCCAGGCAGTTAGTTTGGCTTCAGAGATGGGACACTTAACCACAGTGCTACATT